AAAAAAAAAAAAAGAAAGAAAAGAAAAGAAAAACAAAAAAATAAAACTCTTATAGCCCAGTGATAAGAAGATAGATAATCTGATAAAAAGTTGGCACAAGAGTTGACCAGACATATCACAAAAGAAAATACACGAATGGCCAATAGTAACTTGAAAAGATACTTAAAATTATATTTATCAAGAAAATGTGAATTAAAACTATGAGATACCAATATACAGGCCAGGCGCTGTGGCTCATGCCTGTAATCCTAACACTTCGGGAGGCTGAGGTGGGTGGATCACCTGAGGTCAGGAGTTCAAGACCAGCCTGGCCATCATGGTGAAACCCCATTTTAAAAAAAAAAAAAAAAAAATTAGGCTTGGTGGTGCACGCCTGTAATCCTACCTACTCAGGTGGCTGAGGGAAAATAATTGCTTGATCCTGGGAGGTAGAGGTTGCATTGAGCTGAGATTGTGCCGTTACACTCCAGCCTGGGCAACAGAGTGAGACTCCGTCTCAGGAAGAAAAAACAAAAACAAAAAATCTCAAAAGTGAAAACCATACAAGTTACCATCAGCAGGTAAGTGTATAAACTGGTATACACATACAATAGAAAACAACTTGACAGTAAATAGGAAGAAGCTAATAGCCACTGTAACACGTAGATTCAGTATTGAATGGAAGAAGTTAGATATAGAAAAATACATATTGTATGATTTTTTTTTAGACAAAGTCTCATTCTGTTGCCCAGGCTGGAGTGCAATAGTACGATCTTGGCTCACTGCAACCTCCGCCTCCCAGGTTCAAGTGATTCTCCTGCTTCAGCCTCCCAAGTAGCTTGGACTACAGGTGCGTGCCACCATGCCCAGCTAATTTTTGTATTTTTAGTAGAGATGGGGTTTCACCATGTTGGTCAGGTTGGTCTTGAACTCCTGACCTCGTGATCTGCCCACCTCAACCTCCCCAAGTGCTGAGATTAAAGGCATGAGCCACCACACCTGGCTGTATGATTTTATTTTTATAAAATTTTAGAAAAGGTAAAACTAGTGACCGGTATTATTAATGTCAGAGTAGACAAGGAAACTTTTTGAGTGAGGGAAATGTTCTGTATTTTTGTTGTCAGAATACATCTTAGTGGTTTTTGGAGGTATACATTTGTCAAAAATCACTGAACTTTATACTTAAATAGGGGAGGTTTTACTGTATGCAAATTATACCTAAAAAAAGGACGAGTGATCTTTGTTGGCTTTATCAAGACTTCAGGACATTAGCATCTTGTAGGACAGCGGGCTGAACTAGAGAGGGTGGTGGAAACCTACTGTTTTATAAGTGCTGGGGACCATAGTGTAAAAATAAAGAGACTCTCCTTGGGCACATTTCCTTTCATTATTGCTCGTTCTTCAGTATCCGGCAACAGAGAAATAAAGAAAACTGTCTTCTTCCTTATGTACTGATTTTAGTGTTATTCTGCCAGGTCTGCTCACTGGAGAGATTCCGCTCCTTACAGGACAAGCTACAACTCCTAGAAGAGGCAGTAAGCATGCATGATGGAAACGTCATTACTGCAGTGAGTTGTTGAATTGTTTATTGTTTTTACTACTTTCTGAAAATCCAATCAAATAGACTAACATTTTGTGTTAAATGTTAAGTAAAGATCCTGGATTCCCCTTGGAAGCGTAGGATTCTCAGTAATCTGTGCTTTCAGGGCTTAGCTGGTGTCACATGCATTAAGTGTGGAACCCTGTGGGTTGTTTGCTTTAGAGACAGGGTCTTGCTCTGTCACCCAGGTTGAATCGCAGTGATGTGACCATGGCTCGCTGTAGCTTTAACCTCCTGAGCTCAAGTGATGCTCCCACCTCAGCTCCCCGAGTAGCATACCACTATGCCTGGCTAAATTTTTTTTTTTTTTTTTTTGAGATGGAGTCTCTCTCTGTCACCCCGGCTAGCATGCAGTGGCATAATCTCAGCTCACTGCAACCTCTGCCTCCCAGGTTTAAGCGATTCTCCTGCCTCAGCCTCCCGAGTAGCTGAGATCATAGGCATATGCCACCATGCCTGGCTAATTTTTGTTTTTTGGTAGATACTGGCTTTCACCATGTTGGCCAGGCTGGTGTCAAACTCCTGACCTCAGGTGATCTGCCAGCCTCAGCCTCCTAAACTGCTGGGATTACAGGTGTGAGTCATTGCACCTGGCCTTGCCTGGCTAATTTTTAAATTTTTTTGTAGAGACAGTTGATCTCAAACTGATCTCAAACTCCTGGGCTCAAATGATCCTCCTGCCTCCACCTCCCAAAGTGTTGGAATTGTGGGCATGAGCCCACCATGCCCAGCCTGTGTGAAACCCTTGATTGTAACCAAGACACAGAAGGTCGGCTACTGTGTGTTATAAAAAACAATCTGAGGGAGGAGAGATGTGAGCATATCTTCTTTCAGAGAGAGGTGTCTCTCAGCAGCATGGGCACGGGCGTGTGGACTCTCAAGACATAGCTCAGTTCCAGATATCCATCGCTTTTCCTTCCATCACATATAGAGCTGTTGGCTGTAACTGCAGGGATTCCTATTGAGTTGCTGGCCTTGTGTCTGTATGTCAGGTGCTCAGGGCAGGGCTCTGTGTGTAAAGTTTGCACATTCTTTGTTCTCTTTTCCTGTAGGTTCTGATTTTCCTCAAGAGGACACTGAGCAAAGGTGAGAATGGCTTCAGTCAGCAAGATCTCTGCCACATCTGAGGGGAGACTGGCATGTGCCTTTCATAACAGAATTCATCAGTCAAGTCTATTTCAGAGACAACGGGGGTGGCCTGAGACTTCAGAGCCCATATCACACCTCTGAGGGCATCCTTTAGGGTGATGACTGCATTAACCACAGAGCCCCCTCTATTTCTTGGACAGACAGATGGCTGTGTTGGTTTGAAGAAGTCAGAGTCCATGCTAAGTGCCTGCTGTTTGGGTTGGTGTGAAATGAAAAGCTGACTCAGTGGCTCTGAGCTGCCCAAGACCATAGAGTGTGTTCATGGTGAATTAAGACATAGGAGTAAAATAGGAGTAAACCATTCTTACCTTTTTTTTTTTTT